AATGAATGAATGAATGAATGAATGAATGAATGAATGAATGAATGAATGAAAGAAAGAAAGAAAGAAAGAAAGAAAGAAAGAAAGAAAGAAAGAAAGAAAGAAAGAAAGAAAGAAAGAAAGATCGGGAATCATCCTTAATCAACAGATCCGTTGGCCATTCTGTCAGGCAATGTGGGGGTTGTAGTGTAGCATATTTAAGTCTAAATGGACAGCTATTAGTAAGACCTAGTCTTGACCAGGAAGTAATGCTTGCTTGATGGTCACTTGCCAAGTGTAAAATTCAGGAGCTTCCCATGTGTTTTGGTGTGTCTTTAGGAAAAGGAAGCCCTGGTGAATTGTGCCATATGAGTTTGATCTCTCTGTCCTCCCTTCTGCTGCATTACTAATGCCACTTGAGGCAACCGCCTACTAGCAGGGTCAACTAGTATTCTCAGCTATTTTATATTCAACCAGCATCTCTAATTTGCAAGAGTTTTCACATTCTAATCTGTTTCCTTCATACTGTATGGCTGGATATATTATTGGAGAATTTGGTTTATTCTCTTTTATAGTTAGCAGAGAGAATCAACGACTGCACAGGGAAAGCATGAGAGAATGGCTTAAGTCTCCATAGCCCACCTCTTTTCACTTTATATGTTAAAAATCACTCTAGAAGCATTTTAAGTGGGAAAAATATATATTTACTTATAGTTGCTGTCTATAGTTACAGTCAGTAGAAAAATAGGGGAAATCGATTCTGCACATCTGGGAGAGATCCCTCCATGCTTCCTGCATGCTCAGGGGTCAGGAAAGGAGAGATAAGACTAACAGGCACAGGAAGTGAAGCAAACAAACAAGAAGAGAGGAGAGGGAGCCTGAGGGAGGAAAAAACTTTACCAAGAGATTAGTGGGAAAGAAGAACCCATTTAGGTATCAAAAGTCCCCATCCCAATGATACTCGGTATTAGAAAGGATGCAAGATTGTTACTATCTCATCATGGACTTGGGAAGAGAAACTGTACTCAACATGCATTTAAGAGTTTATTCTCTCTTCTGTCTAGCAAAGAGACTATTCACCCCCATCTGGAAGACAGCAGAGATATATAATATTTATGCAGAAAAAGAAGAAACACTTTGTCCCATGAACACCAGATTTAAGTATCATACAGCAGTATGTATTATGCATCCATAAACTGCTCTTCAGTAGCCTGGAAAGCAATTAACATCAGCAGTTACCCTTTGACCTAAAGTGTTCACCACCCTACCTCCCAATCCTGTTCTGTTCCAACCTGTGAATCCACCAGAGTTTAGGCAAGAAGTCATCCAGCAATGGAAAGAATTGCATTTTTTAATGATAACCCTTCCCAGGCGGCAGGTTGAAATTCTTCAGTACCCAGGAGAGCTCCAAGATGTTGCTTCAGTCCTGGCTCTTCAACAGTCCAGCAAGGTCTACTGATTGAGAACACATAACCTTAAAAGTGGTGCATGGATTAGTTCAGATGCCTGAATGGAAGGATCTGAACTTGACCCTTCCAGCTTTGGAATCTGGGAAATTGAGTGGTTGGAAGACATCCTGGACATTTTGGTTCAGGGTCATTACAGGAGGAATCCCAACCAGGCAGAGGTGGAGACTGAAACACAGTATCATTTTGGAGATGTACTTACTTAGAGAAGTTATCCTTTGTGAGTTCCAGCCAGAATAAACACGTTAAACTAATGGGATGTATGCAAGTCAAGACATATGCATCATCCATTGATTCAGTGGCTCAATTTCTAGTTAGTAATAATGGTTGGATTTAGCCCATTCTCTCTCTCTCTCTCTCTCTCTCTCTCTCTCTCTCTCCATTATTTAGATGCCTCCTTTCATTTAGGTGCCATAGGGGACCCAGGAGGCTCACAAGGCTAACAACAGTTAAAATCTACAATAGTAAGTTTAAAGTACAGTACACATGTTAAAAGCAATTAAACAAGGTGACCAAAGTTGTTCTCTATTCCATAACCAGGCCTGAAGCCAGATTGAAATGGATCTCGATAATCTGTATCTTCCAGGAACCCCTGGAGTTGGGAAGCCACCACATGCTCCGAAACCTTGCCCAAAAAATGGGATACTGGAGACTGGCTGATAATTATCCAATACAGTGAGATTCAAGGAGGGCTTCTTAAATAAAGGTCTTACTACTCCCTCTTTTAGATATGGCTTGCTGGAAGGAGACATTGACCACTCCCCAGACCCATTCAGTCAGTCCCTCTCTGGTTGCTTTGATAAGCCAGGAAGGGCAAGGGTCTGGCACATATGTGGTGGCTTTCACCACTCCAAAGATCCTTTCCACATTCTCAGGCTACACCAACTGAAATGTATCCATATAAAGGTCTTACTACTCCCTCTTTTAGATATGGCTTGCTGGAAGGAGACATTGACCACTCCCCAGACCCATTCAGTCAGTCCCTCTCTGGTTGCTTTGATAAGCCAGGAAGGGCAAGGGTCTGGCACATATGTGGTGGCTTTCACCACTCCAAAGATCCTTTCCACATTCTCAGGCTACACCAACTGAAATGTATCCATTACAGGAGGGGAGGAACCATCCTCAGGCTACACCAGAAATGTATCCATTACAGGAGGACTTTAAATTTTGATCAGGTCATTCTCTGCCTCTGGAGGACTCTAAATTTTGATCAGGTCATTCTCTGCCTCTATGCATGGTTTTACCTCATCAGTACTCTTCCTTGTGTACTCACTAAAATATCAGTTAAGCCATTTTGATACCACTTTGCTCAATGATTTAACTTTCCCAAATGATATTTGATGTGACAAAGAGTCACCTAAAACATGTATGGCAGCTTTGACTTTTAAGTTGCCTTTGTACGGATTTCGGCAGCCATTTGTGCCCTTAAAGCCTTGCAAAATGAAATAGTTGTTTTGTTACAAATCTGATCTCATGTCTGTGGCAATTTAAATCTGATCCCATGTCTGTGGCAATTTAAATCTGACTGGCTCTAGTTCTGCATGGCAAAGACACTTGAGCCTTTTCTTTTACTCCTTGACAGTATTAATGATGTAACATCAGGAAGAAACACAGATGTACTTTTAAAGCTGCATCACGAGGGCTTATGACCACTTCCCCATCCCATAATGTAATAATGAGCTATTAAGGACAGGAAAACAGATTAATGTGAAAATGTGAGAGCAATTGTTCTGGAAGGAGGAGAGGCCCAAACTCCTATTTCACATGGAGCTGACATTGGAACAACCTGTGTTCCCAAGGTTCTCGTCAGTACTAACTGTTCTGTTTATATAGCTTTTCCTGAAAGGTTTTAAACATACTTAAATTATCTCAGTAATTTTTAAATCTATCTTGTGAGCCAGGGGTGGGCAGAAGATAGATCAGGCTGCATGGGTAGAATCTGTAGGTGATTTCCAGTACATACGAGACAAAGGTGAAGGACTCTGGATTTTAGCAATAATAAACTGGAAAGGATTCTTTGTTTTGGTCTTTGACCGCCATGGCTGGCATAGCACTAATTGCTTCCCTCTTGCTCGATGTCCCTCCTGTCTCTGATGTGGCTGTTGCCTGTGATCAAATCTTTGTGTAGCTTAACTGGCTGCCTTCAGAGTTCTAGAAGTCTTGAAGGCTTCTAGAACTCTGAAGCTCGAGATATGGATGTAGCTCAAGACAGGGATGTATAAGGAAGGGAGTCCTCACTGGGCTGCCAGTTTGGAGAAAGAGTGCTTTTCTTTGTCACACTCCTATCCTCATTTTTCTCGGTGGAGTTCTGGGTTTGGCCCATGATGTCTTCACAAGAGTGCTGTGGGGTAGGCTGGCCTGAGAGCCAGGAATTGGCCCAAGATCACCCAGAATTTAAATCCAGTATCCCAATTTGGGACCCCACAATCCAGCCACTTTGAGTCTATATTTCAAAGTCTTTCTTGGAAAAAGATCTCTCTCTCTCTCTCTCTCTCTCTCTCTCTCTCTCTCTCACACACACACACACACACACACACACACACACACACACACACACACACACACCCTTTGTGCGTACAGTACTGAACTTCTTTACTAGAGTTTTTATCAAGGTTTAATTAATCTAGTTTAGTTGCAGACACACACACAACATTGTGTGAATGTGTACTTTGATAATTTTTTTAAAAAGTCTGAAGTATATCTTATTAATAACAAACCTTCCTCCTTCACTCAGCCTCTGTGTTATCTCCTCAACAGTAGGCAAGGAGCTTTCTGTTCAGGCAGGCAGTTGGCAATAGACAGACTGCTGAGGAGGTAGCTTTTAGTGGGGGAGCTGTACTTTCTACTCTTCTGCTTCTTTTTCTAATATCCCTTTGAATTGTTTCAGTTCAGTGCTTGATTTTTAGATGGTAGCTGGTTCAATTGTGTATTAATATTATGACTTACTGTGTTTTTATCGATTGTTTTGCAAGCTCCCTTGGATTCTTTTATTGGGCGAAAAGTGAGATATAAATTAACTAAAGAACTAAATCTGACTTCCAAAAATAGAGAGAAAAGAGTTGCTGATAAAGAAAATCCCCTGATGGAATGCATTTTGTGAAGTCTTTGTAAAAAAAGACTTTAGAAGGGATCTGGCTTGGGGAAAACGTGATTTAGCTTCATCAGTTAAGCTTTATGATAAAGACATAATTGGAGCACTGTCTTTCTTTTCTACAGGTAAATGGAAGATCTGGAGATACGCAAAGCACGTCGGATAGAGCAGATGGTAGCAAAATGGCTGCGTCGGTCACGAGATAATTCAGCCAGGTTGGTATTCTAATGAAATGTTCCCAAAGATGGATGGCAGATGGGCTTTTATGAGGTGAAGAACACGCATGGTTTACATGTAGAGGATTTGGAACTTCTTTTGTAGCTCATGGCCTTGCTTACTGAAACTTAGCTGGCAAGATTGCCTAACCTTAACCCTGTCACCAGTATTGCGTCTCGGCCCTCCCTGTATGACACAGACGTTGAGGTGAGTGTGCCTGCACGCCATGGCAGTCTCCCTCTAGGCTGTGCAGTGGCTATCATTGGAGACAGTCCCGAAACTACAGACGTGGCAGTGGGGTGATTCCTTCTCTTCCCTGGCAAGCGGGTCTTTCTGAAAGCTGGGGTTCCCTTGAGTAACTTGGGATGCATGGCACATTCATGATGAGAACTGCTATGTCTCCCTGTATTCCCTTTTTCTTGACTACCTGTTGCTTTCCCTGCAGATGCGGTCTTCCCTTTGCCAGCCAGTACCCTTCATATTTCCTTTTCATTTCTTATACACTATAGTTCCTGGTTCAGCTGGACCCATGACTCAGTTCCCTTAAATATATTTGGGGCAGCAGATGCCGCCTGCCTCTGCTTCGCTCAGCTGTTCCATCACCAAGTGATCTTTGCCATCCTATCACTCTTTGTTTCCTAATTTTCCCTTTGTAGGGAACACACTAAAAGTTGGGTCCCTATGATATGGAGAAGGATGGGGACGTGGCTTTTCTGCTACTTACTTGTCACATATGCTGTGCCCAATTCTGTTCCAGCTGGATCAAGAATGCCGCCAACATTGCCATGCCTCCTTCTCTTATCTCTAGTTCTTTTGATGCCAGCACCCCCTAACCGCTAATACTTATTGGCTGAAATCCCGTTGCTTAGCACAGTACGTTGCGACTAAAGTAGGCCCATTTGAATCAATGGGATTTAGGGAAGTGTTGACTCATCAAATCATCACTGATTCAACAGGCCTGCGGTAGTTAGAGCTGACGACACTAAGCAGCAGGATTTCCACCATTGTAAGCTCAGTAGGTTATGTATCTGGTTCCAGAGCCAGAAGCTGAGAGTTCAGTTCCCCACCATGCATCCCAGAAGAGGCCGTCCGTGTGGCCTTGGGCAAGCTGCACGGCCCCAGAAGAAGGGAATGGCAAAACACTTCTGAACGCTTCCTATCTAGGAAACCCTAGAAAGGGCCAACGTAAGTCAGAATTGACTTGATGGCGCACAATAAATAGATAAACAGGCATCTAGTAATAAGAGTCACCTTTACCTTGTATTCCCGCACCCTAACTACTGATGCTTCATGCAGTGGGGTATTATGACTTCAGGCTAACACTGCTGAAGTTAATCACGATGACATCATGTTGACACGGGGGGAGGGGGACTGTGAGGTCCTGCTGATTGTCCCCACCTGAAGGAGGAATTGGCCTGTGTGCCCTCACACCGTTGCTGTCCTTTCAGAAAGTGCCCTCTGTGTACCCTGGCCCAGGTCTTCCTCTACCATTAGGTAGAGGCAGGCTGCTTCCTCAGGTTACAGGGGTTGTGCTTCAGCGGTAGCCGTCCCTCCAACCCTAGGAGCCATTTCACCTGAGCTCTTCCCATTTCCTTGAAAGACGGAGATGTGTCTCCCACATAGAGGTGGGCAGCTGCGCCCTGCCAGATGTTTTTGGGGATCTGTCTTTCCTTGAAAGACAGAGATGGGTCTCCCACATAGAGATGGGCAGCTGCGCCCTGCCAGATGTTTTTGAACTCCCATGATCCTTCACCATAGGCTATGCTGGCTAGGGCTAATGGGAGTTGGGGGGGGTCAAAAACAGCTGGCTGCCCACCCCTGCCCTAAAACAGTCTGCTGCCCTCAGGTATGTCAGAAGATGTTGTACCATAGCTGGTGTTGAAATGGGTGATTATCTTGGCTTCTATATGTAGGACAGTTGGTGTGTGATTTTTATCTTATGCCTCCAACAGCAAAATGGTGGGAAGATGGGTAGCATCTGACTTTGCCAGGGGCCAAATGGGGCTTCTTGGCGTTCTTCTTTCCTCACCCGTCCTCTTCAGTGCAAGTACAGGCAAGAAGCAAACTATGGAAACTTCTACAGGGTGACTGCCTTCTACAGCTGAGTGTCTCTCCGCTACATCCTCCTGCTACTTACCATTCCAGCCATTTCTCTGGTGTCCTCCAGACATCTTGGACTGTAATTCCCATTGACATTGACTAATGGTCATGGTGACTGGGGGACCATGAAAAGTTGCAGCCCAACGCAGTTGGAAAGCATTAGGTTCAGGAAAAGGATATAACTGGCGGTGAGAATACATCACAAAGTCAGGTCAGGATGCACAGTAAGTAATACCATAGGGGGAAAAATGCAAAAGTGCAACTAATACTCTCTCCTGTACATGATATTGTTAAACATAAAACTATTTTCAGTAAGACCACCATGCCTGCGGGATCAGTATCTGCAATTTCATTTATCCATGGTCTGAAAATATTTTTAAAATATATATTTTAAATCTAGAAAAAATATTTTCACATATATTACCAGAACGGCCACTATAGGGAGCCAGAGACCTGCTATGAATACTTGTTAGCGAAGAATACATAGTATGGTCTCTGGCACCCTCTAGGGGCCAGTTCTGGTGATGCATGTGAAAAAATGTGTTGTTTTTTTACCTTTTACCATCCGATTGATTGATCGTTTGCTATTATCCACAGTTTTCAATAACCAAAGTGGGGCTTGGATCCCAGAAGATATGGGGATTCTACTGTAATTAAACTATATCATTGCACATCATTGTAAATCAGGATTTTTTGGGATCCCTGATACAGCGTAATAATGAGAATGTGGTATGCTTTGCACAAGCTGAGCCAACATTAAGGTTGGAAACTGAATATTGTTAGGTGAAGGTGGAGGGAGCAACTAGCAGTGGGTGACTTCTGTCTGCCAAGTGCCTTCTCTTATTCCCTGTTAGTGGCTGTGTTCAAATTGTATTGCTGATGTAAGAAATGGGATGTGTGTGGAAAAAATACATCTTGTAAACACCAGAAATCTGGCATGTCCAGAAGAAGTCTGTCTTCCCAGTCTTGCTCATTTCCTGTATGGCAAGAACATTAAAAAAAAAAACCCCAATGCGGTGTGGTTCTTGTACAAAATCCAAACAAAACCAAGGTTTGTGATACCTTTGCAGGACCGCTAACATTTTTTAAACCAGGTAATTTTTTTGCTACAGTGGAACCCTTTTTCATGTTGGCCATTGCAGAGCTCAAGAAGGTTGGGAATGGGTGGTAATAAGAAACCATTTTTTGGACTTTTCTGGTGTTTCCCCATCTGCCTTTCAACCCCAGTCTGAAAAGAGTCCTACTGATTTTAAAACCTCACCTGTTCTTAATGTTTCAGTGGTCCAGTAAAGGTAACATCCACCCTTGGTTTCATTTGGATTTTGTACAAGAACCATAGAGCGTTAGGGTCCCCCCCCCATTTAAGAATTATATGATTTATCATTTTAAGCCTGTGAAATTGCTACCAGCACGACCACCACCACCTGCAATCAGAAATGCTATGACCTAGATCTGAGCATTTGCCACCTCTTGGTGTTTATGAGAGATGTGATGCTTAGACTGTGCTTTTTGAAAGAGTCCTTTCCCTTCCTTGACTTGAACACTCTATGGCAGTGGTCCCCAACCTTGGGTCTCTGACCACCACCACCTGCGATCAGAAATGCTATGACCTAGATCTGAGTTTGCCATCTCTTGGTGTTTGTGAGAGATGTGACGCTTAGACTGTGCTTTTTGAAAGAGTTCTTTCCCTTCCTTGACTTGAACACTCTGTGGCAGTGGTCCCCAACCTTGGGTCTCTAGATGTTCTTGGACTTCAACTCCCAGAAATCCTGGCCAGCAGAAGTGGTGGCAAAGGCTTCTGGGAGTTGTAGTCCAAGAACATCTGGAGGCCCAAGGTTGGGGGACCATTGCTCTATGGGGAATGACCATTCCAGAGTGCAGGACATGTAGTAAATAACCATTCCAGAGTGCAGGACATGTAGTAATAGGCTCAAGTTGCAGGAAGCCAAATTTAGGCAGAATATTAGGGGGGAAAAACTTCTTGTTAGAGCAATGGAACCAATAACCTCAGGAGATGGTGAGCACTCCAGTGCTCAAGGCATTCAAGAGATGAGTCTTCCAGCGCTGGAGGCATTCAAGAGAAAATTGGACCACCATCTGTCAGATCTGCTGAGATTTGTATCCCTGCTTTGAGCAGAGGATGGGACTCAATGGCCTTATAGACCCCTTCCAACTCAATTATTCTATGATCTACTCAAGCTGCCTGTCAGGGAGAGGAGTGTGCCCTTAACCATTTCCTCAAGATCCCAAATAGGCTTCTACAGAATCCCAGGCCAGATTTCTGGAGGCTATGCTGTGAAAGCTATGGCCTCAAAAAAACAAGACGCTTGTTGCAAGCCTTAAATGCTCACATTTCTTCCTTAACAATTTTCATATCTTGGACATTCCTGATCACTGGGAGACTTGGCCGAAAAGAAATTGCAAGAAAAATAAAGTAACAGCTTTCTCTTGTGTTGTACTCTAACATTTCATGGCCAGAAAGAGGGTCAAACCACATCCTTTGGAAAGTGATTTTTAAGTACAGTTGTCAGTACTGACAGGGTTTGGTGAAGGGCAGCACTCCTTCCAAAGTGGTATGACGGGTGGGTAGAACATGAGGCTGTTCGGTTGGAATGCCTTGACTGATTGGGTGCTGAGTAGAGATGAGGGTATTCGTATTCAGAGACAAATGCAAATATCCCTGCAAAGGTGGCATTAACGAGGGTCCAGCCCCATCGAGGTATTCGTATTCACAGACAAATACAAATATCCCCTCAAAGGTGGCGTTAACGAGGGTCCAGCCCCCGGCTGATGGTCCACTCACTGATCCACCGCGATCCTACCAATGGCTGTCGCCACTCTGCAGAGCCATTGGTAGAATCACGCCGCCTGCCTCCGTGGCAGATCGGTGAGTGGACCGTCCGGCCCCATGGGGATGGACCCTCATTATTGCCACTTCTGCGGGGATATTTGTATATGAATACGAATACCCCCATCTCTAGTGCCGAGGTCTTTAGCCTTAACAGGCTGTGTTTTACAGTGAGAGAAATGAAGGTGCCGTGTTTAAAATTTGGAGTTTCTTTGTATTTATGCTGATCTACAATTATAATCAATTTTCGCTGGAGAGTGACAGGTGAAGACACCGTTATCTAGACCTCATATAATGAGGAAACCCTTCAGACTTGGGCTGTGCATCTGCAGGAGAAGCCAAGGCTGCTTCTGCCAGCTGTGCCCATTCAGCAGATCCTCTGCTCATACAGCTGTAGGTGCGTGGGCTTTCCACTGCCTTGGCAATGGGAAAAGTATTACATTTTGAAGCCCAGGTCCTCACCAGGGCAGCTCTTGTAAGCCATGCCACCCCCTCGCAGTGAGAATTTAGAACAGTAGGCAGCTGTGTTGATCCATTTGAGGGTGAGTTACACATAGAACTAGGGGGGAGAAATTCTGTTTAGGCTACGGCCTCCAGGATCCCCATGCCAGCTGGGGATTCTGGGAGTTGTTGCCCCTAAAAAGAACATTCCCATGCTCTGTGTGTAAAACTCCTCCACCCCCAGAGCAGCATTATGTAGCATAATACACTCTTCATTAGGTTCAGGTGATGGCCATGGAACAGCCATGGAGCTATCAAAGAGAGGGTTGAGATGATGTCCCTGCTGGTCAAGAAGCCCTGCTGCTCCAACACTCTGATACCTTGGTTCCATGGCAACGCTGATAGCCAAGAAACCTTGGAAATGCAGGGGGTCTTATTCAGGTAGCTACCCTATCCACATCTGTCTCCACATCTGTAGGATTTTCTTGGGATGGTTTACATGTACATGATTTGGAAATTCTTCCAGACATTTTGGACTGTAATTCGCATTGACTCATGGTCATGGTGCTGCTTCCTCAGGTTACAGGTGTTGTGATTCAGCAGTAGCCATTGCTCCAACTCTACGAGCCACTTTCTCCATTCTCTATGTATACAGTTGGATGGGTGCATGTACACAACCATGTGGTGTTACAAAGGCAGAACACTAGCTGTGCCTCTTGTTCTATGCTGACATACCTGACCATATTTAAAATGCAGACTAGATCTTGGCTTTCCACATTGTGCATTTGATGATGCAGTCTTGGGCCAAAGTCACTTTGTCAGTCTTTTAGATTTTAGAACTGCAGAGTTGGAAGGGACCCTATGGGATCATTCCTCCCATGGGAGGCACACCGGGGAATCGAAATCTGTACTTCTGGCTCCACAGCCACATACCTAAACCACTGAGCTATAATGTGACTGCACTCTTTTTCTTGTTTTCATTACCAAAGTAGGCTTTGACATAAATATTTATCAGGAGTGAATATACTTAAATTTAAGGAAACTGAGCAGTTCGGATGTCTTCTTGTTCTCCACATCCAGAGGGAGAACATCAGTGAGCGAGAGACCACCTGAAGGTATTGGACAGCCTCCAAGTCGTGTAAAGCTTATGGTAGATGTCCCTAAAGATGTGCTGCTTGGACATTATGGCTTTGAAGTTTCCCCAAATCTTCCCCTTTTGGTCACATCTGTTGTTGAAGGTAAGACCCTTTCTTTCTTCCACATTGAAGAATTCCAGAATGAGATAAAGATCAAGGGCAATTTGTGGTAACACACAAGAGAGATATTGTAGAAACATTTGCCCTTTGAAATGTAGTTCCTTAAATATTATAAGAGTACATCCTACTGATATACATTTGTCTTCCAAGTTCCACTGCCATGATGATTGTAGGGTCAGTTCAGCATGAGCAGTGCTCGCTTCAGGGTTTCTGCAGTTCTTTGGACAACAGGCCCATCTCCTTAAGTGTGACCACCTTTCTATTATCATGGCAGTGGGTGGTTCACTTGATAACTTCCTTAGGGCCCAAAACGGCATTGGCCCTATGTCACGTTCCCACCTGCCCCTTGGTTGTTTCACCAAATAAAGGCACAAGCCACATGTCGTTCAGCTGCCACCAGTTGATTACACCAGTATTATTCACTATTAAAGACAGAGGTCCAGTCAACGTGTCATTTAAAAACCAAATAGAAATTTATTGTTACAAGAAATAAAAGTTCAGTCAGTGTTGTTAGCTCTCAACTAAAACAACCTTCCTTTCTATTCTCTATCGCTTTCCCAAACTCTCTCTCAACTTCAAACTCAAACTCTAAACTGCCTTTTTCCTCTTCTAATCTCCCTCATTTTGCTTCTCCCTCCTTAACTCTGCCCCCACCAACTCCCATTGGTGCATGCAAATCCCAACATGAATATTAATAAGAAGGGTGAACGCTACACCCTACCCTCGGACAGAATGAGGTTTCTGCTTGGTTACTTAATTACAGAAGCCTCTAGAGCAGTGGTCCCCAACCTTGGGCCTCCAGATGTTCTTGGACTTCATCTCCCAGAAATCCTGGCCAGCACAGTTGATGGTGAAGGTTTCTGGGAGTTGTAGTCTAAGAACATCTGGAGGCCCAAGGGTGGGGACCACTGCTCTAGAGATGATTTCCATGCACTGAGGTATTCTGATAGCCATTATGAAAGAGAGCTCACATCTGGCTACATCCATCTATCAAAGGGAACTCACTGGCTTCCAAAAGGAAGGCAGAAATAAAAACAATGGAGTTTTCCCCTGGAGGTAACATAGGAAAAAACAAGATGGGAGAAGAAATAGCAATATATATCCACCTTTCACCCAACTCCACACTATTTTGGTTTAATTTTTATACACACCAGTGCTTCTTTTACTTCTAGCACCAACAAGGCTGACCTCTGAGGGAGGCCCTGATGTTGAGACTCCTAACCCAAATTAGGTCCATTTGTCTTAACGAATGCCAGTCTGAAGATGAAAAACAAGAGGGCAATGTGGCATCTGTGATAATCAACAACACTGAGGAGGAGACCAGCTCCCTCAGCATCTTCCTTATAAGAGACATAGCACTGAAGAGAGTGAAACATAGTCACTAGTTAATGTAGTTACGGAACTAAAGATAAATCTGGTTTGCATTTTCGGATTTTAAGGATTAAAAAAAAAACAATACCTTGAAAGGCTTTGGCTTCTTGTCATGCCAAGTGATTTTGTCAACTGTAAATGTAATGTATTTCTAAGAACCTGACCTTTTGCAGGCAGCACTGCTGATGGGAAGCTTCTGCCAGGGGATCACATTCTTGCGATAAACAACGAAGTAGTGGAAGACATTCCTGGTGAACAAGCAGCTGCGCTTTTAAGGTACCACGGGCTAGTATGCTTACAATGCTAAATACAATGGCTGGGCTCCAAAAAGATGTCTAGCTTCACACCAGGGATTCGCACTAGGCTTGTGGGATCTATTTGACTTTTCTTTCTTCCAATAATGGACTGCCGTGCCAAATCCTGAACTGCTTTTGATCCCTCGCTCTGTGTCAAAACCAGTATCTAATGCTTAATGGGGAGGGGAGGGGGTTCAGGAACAAAAGCAGATCCAAAGTCCTCATGGGCTGACAGAACTAGTTCCTGGGATCCCGGCTTGCCTGCCAGTGTAGAATGCTGGTATGAAACTAAGGGTGCAATCAGATGGGGAAATAGCTTGCATTTCGGACCACTTATGGTGCTGTCCAGTGCAAGCTATTTCCTGACAATCACATGACATATGGGCAATAATGATCCAGCCTGACCACAATCTGTGCCAGCCCTCTTTGGTCCAGTGTAGAGAGGGGGGCACATGGTTAAAAAAAACAACCAACCGATTTGAAGAAAACTGTTATTCATTGCTTAACTGTAGATTAAACATACTGCGTATCTCTTCTGTCCTTTAGGAAAAAGAGTGTCTTTCTCCCCCTTCTGGAATCATATGTCATCTTAAAAAAATAAAAATAAAGTTTGAATTAATTGTGTCTTACAGGGAATCACAAGACACTCTCCAGCTCACAGTTCTCCGATGCACTTCGGTAAATTGCCTTCATGTACCACTGGTGTTTGACTTGCTCCTTGGAGGGTAAGGGTTTGGCACCCGGATGAGCGGGCACATGAGATGAGAAATGAGAAGTTCCAGGAGGTAACCTTAGTGATGGGTGGGGAGATGGACCCCAATCAGGGAAATTGTAGGGAGTCTTAAGGGGGACTTCAGGTCATGTCTGCTGGTGAGAGGAAGGCCACCCAGTATCAAGGGATGACATTTGGCTCTCATTGTGATGTCACAAAATTTTCTGTAGTGCCAGGTCATAGAGTGGTGGATTAGGCCCAGAATAACATATGTGTGTACATCAGTGTCCTAACAGTCTGTTTAAATGCAGAAAAGCTGGTTTTTGGACGCTATTGAGCCTGGGAAAGCAGCAAACATAATAGGGTGATTCATTTTTACCCACCTGTTGCTTTCTTATTCTTTATCATCCTCTGGATATGTTCATATTTAAAACACTGTGGGAAGACAAGTTGTAGGGCACAGATTTATAACAGGCAAATGGCAAGCAGCTGATATTGGGTTTGTACCCTTCAGTTTCTCCATTCCTGATCCCCCCACCAATAGCTAGAGTTAAGATACAGTTTTCCCAAGAGACCAAGACTGAAATCTGTTCAGTCATGGAGGTTTCTGGTGATCATCATTCCAATACAGGAACCTGCCTTATATTGAGCAAAACAGGCCATACATTACCCTGTATGTGCCACCTCAGCTGGCCATGGCTCTCTAGGCTGAAGGGTGTCTCCGTTGTACTGCCAGAAGACAAATTTTGACCTTAAAACCCTCAGCATACAAATTCTGTGCTGTAGCTGTGCACCAATCACTCTCTCAGGTGGGTTTGAAGGAGTCAGGATGAAGACACATCGTGTGTGTGTGTGTGTGTGTGTGTGTGTGTGTGTGTGTGTGTGTGTGTGTGTGTGTGTGTGTGTGTGTATGTGTGTGTGTGATCACATATATATGATGTGTTCTCATCCTGCCTCCTTCAAACCCACCTGAGATATAGATGAGATCCCTGGGCTTAAAAAGTGCAATAAATAAACTACTTGCCATTCATTTTTGTGAGACAGAAAATAACAAAGTGAAGCCTGCAGGCTGCTCATCATAACATCAGCATTGGTGATTCAAACTTGTTCTACCTCCATTATTCATTCTACGTTCTGTTTCTTGGCCACACTAGGGGTGGGGTTAGCCTGTGACCATCACAGCCAACCAGAACACCTCATTTTTTTTGTTTTTGATGATTTCTTTAAAGAATCTACTCATTTATTTGTTTCAAATTGGCAGTAGTTCCAAAACGTTAAAGACCCATCTTTTAACCGTGTGGTAGGATGTGAGAGAAGAATTTGGAAATGGACTTTGCTATATACCAGTGGTTCCCAACCTTTGGTTCACATATGTTCTTGGACTACAACTCCCAGAAATCCTGGGCAGCACAGCTGGTAGTGAAGGCTTCTGGGAGTTTGTCCAAGAACATCTGGGGAGCCAAGGTTGGGAACCACTGCTGTATACCAGGGTGAAGAACTGGCCTTCTGGATGTTTTAAACTACCATACCTGTAAACCCTGTCTGTGAGATGAAGGCCAAATACAGTATCTAGAAGACCAAGTTTCCCCATTGTTGATATATCTTGTGGTAGGGCTTCTCCAAATATTGGTGTAACTCTAAACATTCAAGCACAGGGAGATGTTTGTCTCTTCTCTACTGACTCTCTATAGTTTTTTCCGGGGGGGGTGTTTTTCTCGTGAAGAACAACATTTAAGCTTTGTGTTTTTTTAAAGAAAGACTTTATTTGATTTAAACATGTTTGCATGTTGTCAAAACATCATTGTATGTACCTTCTGGGGGAAAAGGGTGATACTGTTTGAATTTTACTACACTAAATCTACTGCATATTGTTGGAAGGAAAATCTGTATGGCATGTTTGTTTCCATTCTTTCTGTAATAAGAGAATACAGTGGTGCCTCACTAGACGATTACCTCGCAAAACGGTTTATTCACAAGACGATGAGTTTTTGCGATCGCTATAGTGCTTCGCAAAACGGTTTTCCCTATGGGCGATTTTCGCTGGACGATGTTTCGGTCCGTGCTTCACAAGACGGGTTGTTTTTTTTCGGGGCCGTTTTTCACAAGACGATGATCTTGACAGCTAGGTCCATGACTCGCAAAACAGTTTTTTAAGGGACCCATTTTCGCAGGACAGCAATTTTGACAGCTGGTCCGTGCTTCGCAAAATGGTTTTCCCTATGGGCGATTTTCACAAGACAACGACTATTTTCCCCATTGGATTTCAATGCATTCCAATGGGAAACCGCATTTCGCAAAATGATGTTTTCGCAAAACAGCGATTTTTGCAGAATAAATTAATATTGTCTTGCGAGGCACCACTGTATTGAAGCCAGGCAATTAACCCCTTAGCATTCTTTTAAAAGGTTCCATCTTTTAGTGATGGGCACCAAGGGGACGTTAACATGGAATAACAGATACAATGAATATATATATAAAATTATTTTCAGCATGAAGAGCATACAAAAATTTATGTTTGTCCCCTGATCTCATAGTACCAGAACTGAGACTCTAGTGAGAGATTGAGGATCAGGGCGATACACTTCTTCACATAGTGCCAAGCAATAGGATGTAGCTCTTCATTAACTCAGCGTATAGATGTAGATCTAACCCTCATAATCTCATTGCTAACACGGCTAGTGGCCACGCTGCTGGAGAGCTTCTGACACCTGTAGCCCAAAATGTAAGGTTTCAAAAGCTGTGACTCCCAGCAGGCTCATCCAACATGGCGATGTTGTAGTCTAGTACTTCTGAAAGATACCAAGTTGGGAAAGGGGGTTGGTCAAAGAAAAGCAAAAGGCTCGCCTTTGTACTTCCTTATCTGTGCTTTCCCCAGGGCTAGCTGATGTAGGAAAGGATGCTGAGCAAAGAGCTTTGATGTGAACCAGTAAAAGAGTGCTTCTGCTGTAGTGGCCTTCTGTTTATCACATTCTGTGCCAATCTGCCTTCAGCAGCAGAAGACTTGTAGAAATGGAATGTAGAGAGCCTTTGGCTCTCCTGATGTTTTTTCACTACAACAGTTTCTCCTCATTGGCTCTCCTGCCTGGGACATCTGACAATTGGAACTCAAAACTGCTGGAGAGCCAAAGGCTCCCCAGATAGATCACAGTAATCATCACAGTAATCTGTCTGCATTTATCATCAGTGGTGTGACTGTTTTGCAAAACCAAATGCCGTTCTTTTCCAGGGTGGCCCGAAATCATCTTTTCTTACAGCAGAGAAAAGGGCCAGACTGAAGACAAATCCTGTTAAAGTCCGCTTTGCAGAAGAAGTGGTTGTGAATGGACACACTCAGGTCTGTGCTGAACCTAGTCACCAACGCCATATGAACTGGATATGGATCCACAATTAGATTTCAAAAGTTCTTTAACATTTCCCAAAATACATTGCTTAGTGTTCGGTAAAGCGAAACCCTAGGATAACTCGATTAGAATTTAAGACTGAGAAACAGTTAAAGAATTCAGCTGGTTAATCATCTACCTTTTAACTGATTTAGTGCCTGAAATCCTGTTGGGCAGTTGCATGTGTGCAACAGTGATGATGTCATCAGCAGCGTCAAATTGCTGCTGATTAAAGGCAAATTGCCACTGATTAAAGGTGATTTGGGGATGCATGTGGCTCATACACAATGTGATTTGCCACTGCTGCTGCTGCTGTCCTCACCATTGTGCAAGTGTAGCTTCACAATGGGTTTTCAGCCATTATTTGATCAGATTTAAATACTTCTTCTTCATGGTCTCTGTGAATACACACTAATGGGTTAATCTGTGCTTGTGCAGAGGTTTCCAGAATATTATAGAGCTTTATCACGCATTCACCACGACCACACCCCTAATAAATGTGGTCTGCCCATCCTGGCAATTGCCTCCGTTCTTTTTTGGCGCCACTGAGTTTTCATCTCTCAATGAGCTCTCTGTTCGCCTTGCTTACAATTTCTTCTAAACATAAAAATACAGAGGAAAAATAGCCACTCATGACAACTAATTAGCAGACTCACTAAGCAGGCTCCGTACCCAAACTCATGAGTGGACTCCAGACAACTTTGTGTTTCTTCACCTATGCGATCTATGGGGTGTCCCCCACATAAACATTTTTGCCACCTCACGCAATGCAAAGTGCACCCTCTACTGCTCCAGAGTGGGGATCGGGCCCTTGGGGATGCCTTCATGATACTGTGCTTCCTAGAGTTGCTCTACCTCTTCCCTCCCATTCCCCTACTTCTACGTACCATTGTCAAGCTCCGTCAAGACCACTCGAGTGGCTTCCTCACAGCCCCTCGGTGGCCCAGACAACCATGGTTCATCATGCTCCTAGCAATCTCCAGTGACTTCCTCCATCTTCTGCAGCTTCCTCACCTCCTCAATCAACATCAAGGGAAGACCTTCCCTCCCGATCTCCATACTCTCCACCTCATGGTATGGAGAATCCACCCTCGGTAGCTACCATACTTGCTAACGCTGGAAACCTCCTGTGACCCGTCTCTATGCCTACAAATGGTCTGCCTTTCCATCACGACCTGCCTATGTCTCCAATGACTCTTGAAGCACTTCTGACATTTCTTTCACACCTGTTCCATCATAACCTTTCATTGTCCACTCTCAAGGTTTACATTTCTGCCATCATTGCACATCAACCACAAAACTCTGACACTGCCTTGCTCTTCCGGCACCCTACTCTTAAACAATTTCTCAGAGGAATTTCCAATATGCGCCCATTAGGTCACTCCACATCATCCTATGACATCTTACTCTACCTTCTTTTGAACAACTAGCAACTGCTTCTGAGCGTCTACTCTCTTTTAAGACCTTATTTCTGGTTGCCATTACCTCCGCCCACAGGGCAAGCGAGCTCTCTGCTCTCTGAGTAGACCCACCCTACCTCCAGTTCCATCCAGACAAGGTCACGTTGTACCCAGATGTCTCCTTTGTACCAAAGGTCGTCTCTTATTTTCACCTTAAGCAACCTATTATCTTGCCCACTTTCTTCCCGTCACTGTCTAATGACATTGAGCGATCCCTACACTCACTAGACATTCCACGGGCCTTGTCATTCTACATAGACAGAACTTCTTCTTTCTGAAAATCTAAAAGGCTTTTTATTACTACACATCTACCTAACAGAGGAGCACGTTTCCTCCCAAACCATTTCTCATTGGATTGTTACAACAATATGTCTTGCTTACCAACTGGCTCACAAGCTTTTAGCACCACACTTCACTGCACACTCCACCAGGGCTGTCGGTATCGTCACAGCCTTTCTCAGAGGTGTAGCCATTCTTGACATCTGCAAAGCTGCCACCTGACTGACTCCCTCCACCTTTGGCTCGCACTACTGGCTTAATGTCAGAGCCAAAATGGATGCGACCTTCGGCAGAGCTGTACTTTCATTGATCCTTCCGTGACATCCCTCCTCCAGTAAGTCAGCTTGTGAATCACCCATTAGTGTGCATTCACAGAGACCACGAAGAAGGAAGAGAGGTTACTTACCTGTAACTCTGGTTCTTCTAGTGGTCATCTGTAAATTCACACTTTCCACCCGTCCTCCACATTGTCCATCACCTCTGTTTCATTTGATACAGCAGTAGGCTGTTCTTAGGAACTGAAGTAATCACCAGGACGGCTGGACCACATGTACTAGGGGGGCTATCCTGGCAAATGCGTGATAAAGCTCTAGAATATTCCGGAAACCTCTTCACAAGTGCAGACTAACCCATTAGTGTGAATTCACAGATGACCACTCAAAGAACCAGAGTTACAGGTAAGTAATCTCTCTTTTTGCATGTTGCCCAAACAACATCATATGTATTCTACTGAAAAAAAAGTGTGATGTTTGGATGTTAATAAACAAAATCTATTGCAGACTCTTGGAAGGAAAAATAGTATTGCAGATTTCTTTCCATTCAGTAGTGAGAGAATACTGAATTTGGGCAACTAACCCCTTAGTGTTCTTTTAAAAGGTTTCATCTTGTAGAATGTGGAAAATAATTACAGCAATTACAATTTTCCATTTTTAGCATATTTTAATGTGTACAGTATAATGGTTATAAGTTGTCATATGTTAAAGTGCACGAGATCATATTATCCTTTTTAGGATAAAGGAAGAAACCAAAGCTTGGAAAAGTTTACTTTTTATTACATGATGGCAGGTGAGTTTTGGGATTTTAAAAAGTAACTTTTCTGAGCTCTGGAAGAATCAGAAGATTTAGAAGCCTTCTGGCATTTAATGCCAATTCATAGAGGTAGACACACACACACACACACCGGTGCCATTTGGGTATGATGAGAATTATAGTCCAAGACAACTAGAGTGCTCTGAGTTGGTCAGGAATTACATAGAACAAAACCAGGATCTGCTTTTCCACTTTTTTGGTGGATCCACAAGTTGTTAATGGAACAGAAGAGCTACGTATGCTGCCTGCATCCCCATCCAGTGCTCCTCCTTCTGCTTGACCATGGATAGTGAGCTCTGTTTATGCACCAAAGGAGGAGGTGGGGCATTGTTGTAGCCTATAGGGATTCCTCTAGCAGCCCTCATCGAAGTAACTATCATAATGGTCATTTTTACATGAAGCAAAACTCCTAAACCAGGTTTTGTTTGGAAAAAGCCCAGAATTGCTTTCACACAGCTGAAATGTGAACCCTTAGTCTGCCTGTATAAATTGTTGATGAGACCAAATGCTTTTCAACCTCAATTTTCCAGAATAAATCTTGTCTGTTGCCCTGTGGCCAAACTCTTATGTGAACACTGGGTTACCTGAGGATATTTGCAGGGCAAGACAATGAGCTACGGGTCACGTGATTTTTTCACATCTGTTGAAAGTGCCCTCTGTAACCTGGGACTGCACTTTAAGCTGAGACATGGCTCCATTTATCATTTACTGTATACAGAGATTTCTCTGTGGCTTGTCTTCTCTGCAAAACTACACAAAAGAACTTAAGTTAAAAGAATTAATGTTACCCAACAGTGCAATCCAAAATCAGAAATTGATTCATATGAAGACTTAGTAAGAAATATAACAGACCAGAGTTGAGGAAAAATCACATTTGTTTGTTTGTTTTACTGTTTGGAAGATTCTGAGAGGTTGCAGTCCAAAAAAGGAACTTCTCCAAACTCTACAACATTTACTAAGAAACAACCCACCACAAAAAGCCGCCACAGAAAATGCCACTTGAATATGAAATTGTTTCCACCCACCAGAGGATACTGCCTAAGCAGCTAACATAAGACAGTATTCTGGGAAGAGGGTTTGGCACTACAACAGGAAAGTTTACACACAGGCCCAGCTGAGCACATTGACTATAGAATTGAAGGGGTGGTGCTTAACACACACACACACCCCAAAAAAACAGGCTGCTCTTTCATAATCTAACATCTGTGCCCAGTGGACAACGTGTGGCCTAGCCTTCCAAGCTAGATTGCAATTCCTATAATTCTTCCTGTTGCCTTACAACACTAAGACAATATCTAGAGTACCACAGGTTTCCCACCCTTGCTCTAAATGGGTGTAGGGGGCTTTCAGAAAAACACAAATATATGTTGTGGGAATTTGGTAATTCCCTTTTTTAGTTAGCAACATATAAAGTAAAAACAAAGCAATGGCAGCAGGAAAAACAGAAGTAGCCCAAGTGCTCAGCATCTCCCACCTTCACAGTAACTACCATGTTTCCCCAAAAATAAGACAGGGTCTTATATTAATTTTTGCTCCAAAAAACACATTAGGGCTTATTTTCAGGGGATGTGGGGTTTTTTTAAATGTACAATAATCTATGTATATTAACTTACAGTCATGTCGTCATCTTCTGATTGCTGCACAATGGTGGAGGGCAGGGTTTCACTTAACTGGGGCTTATTTTTGGGGTAGGTCTTATATTACAAGCATCCAGAAAAATCATACTAGGGCTTATTTTCAGGTTAGGCTTTATTTTAGGGGAAGCAGGGTAATACTGTGCATAATAAAAATCAATCTGAAAGTATCTTATGTACATAGAAAAAGCATCTTTACTTACAGTTGTGATCCCCAAGTACTGTCAGACATGTGAAAGAGAGGAAAAAGAAAGAAATTGCCATATCAGACATGTGAGAGACTGAGTTCACAATACAGCCACATGGTCAGAGGTCAGGAGCAGAGAAATATATGTCTTCTTTGGTCCGTGGTGAGAGAAGAAAGGAGAGAGTAAACAAACAATGGAAGTAAAGCAAAGCAAACAGGAAAAGAGAGCAGAGGCAAGCCAGGGGTAGGAAAAAGAACTTTGCCAGAGTTACCTTATTTTGCGAAAGCTCCCTCCATCCACTGAAACCCAGTTTTAGGTTGCATGCAAGATTGTTATTTTCTCGAACATTCTTTCTCAAGCTTGCATGCAACCTCTATGAGCTTGAGGATGTGCCATGGAGCCTCTTAAACCTGACATAGTTTTTGGCCTTCGCATAGATTCTGCTCTGCTTGGCAGTTATTTGTGGTCCTCTAAGAGAATGTGTGCAGAGACATCAGCCCAAAAGAATGTAAGAGCCAAATCTACTGCATGCTACCTAGTGACTAGATATTGTCTTTTGGTGTTCTAGGGCAGTTCTCTGCTCTGCATGCCCAACGTTCTCAAGGTCTACTTGGAAAATGGACAAACCAAAGCTTTCAAGTTTGAAGCAAATACAACAGTCAAGGTATTTTGAATGGGATACTCAGTATTTAATTTACTCTTCATACTGTGGGGTGTCTAGGTCAAGGCACAGCGTACCTGGTAGGCAGATCAACATATCTCAGCATTATGGTGTTGAAAATTGTCTTCAGCATAGAATATGAATTTTGCACAAATCACCTGCTCATAGATGAACAAATGCTGCAGTCCCTGAAATCCATATATTTCCCATATCTAATTGATACACTTATCTAGCTTTAATTTTATCTGTTCTCATTTGACGGTGTGGCCTGGAGCATTCCATTTTTGTAAATTTCTATCCACAATACAGTGTGCAAACATACACATTTAGCATTGCAATCAATACCTTTTTTAGCATGCAAAACTCTAAACTGGGAGATATTCCATGGTTATTTCTAGTCTGGACATATTTCCCCCTAAATCATTATCATAATTTCAAGTTCTCAGTAGCTCTTAGAATTAATCAAATCAAATCAACTGCAACAGTCAAGCTTCTGTGTCAAGAGGCTTACTGTGCTCTTAGTTTATGTGCATTGGAAGGAAACAGATGTGGAATGGCTGTCCCATGGATCAGATCACATCCACCTCTCTCCCAACCTGCTGCTCTGGATGTTGTCCCAAACTGGCCACCTTGCCTTATGGGTTGGGCTGTTTTTGTGCAATATTAAGCACTTCAGGAATTGGAATTGATCCACATAGGTAGGGAGGCAATTTCTTGCATGTATTTACATTTGATTGTCGATTAATTGGTAAATTTGCCATTAATCATTGGCAGGACATTATTCTTACTTTGAAAGAAAAGCTTTCCATTCGAAGCATTTCATATTTTGCCTTGGTCTTGGAAGAGCAGTATAATGTGCTGAAGATGTATCTTCTACATGAAGATGAGCTCATTGAACGGGTGAGTTTCAGTGCTTTAAGGTGCCTTCACCACTGGTGTTGTGGGCAAGTAGTTGGAGAAACAGGAAGTATCTTTTCAGGGAATACTTCCTGATAATGGATTTTGATACTGTTGTAACTTTGCCTCCTTTCCCAGTCTGGCTAGTTCATAGCAGGGTTGGAAAAAGCTGCTTTTTTGTAACTTTACCTAACTCTGATCATATGTTGGAGAACCTGTGGCCATTCAGACATGCTGGATATACTCCATTTTCCCTCAGCCCCGGGCAGCATGCTGGTGGTCAGAAACAGTGGAACTTGTAGTCCAACAACAACTAGACAAGCATAGGTTTTCAACCCATCAGTTTGATTATGCAAATTATCAGCAATAAAATGTGACTGTCTTCTGGAAATGTGTTGATTGTGATGGATTGGCAGTAGAGATGGGCACGAGCCTTGGTCTGGAGATTCATGCCAGTTTCATTCTCTTTCCCCACCTTCCCAGCCAATGACCCAGACACCAGTCAGAACACACTCCTCTCCTCTTCCTCTTCAGCTGTTCAAGGATCCTACCTGCACCTTTAAAAGAGTAGCCCCTGACAGAGAGCTAGAAAGGTATGGGTAGGGTTGCTCCATTTTGGTTCATTTCCAAGACATGCTATCACTGGGATCATACCAACATGAGGCTTACCGTTTTAAATTTCTGATCCAATTTCAATTTCCATATTTCATTAAGCTTAGCCACTTAATGATATATGGACATTAAATAGTTTCTCTGCTCTACTGTGGAGGGTGAAAGGGAGCCAACAAAGACTATTAAGGCAGTGCTGAGGTGCTGTACCATTTAGGAAAAGAAATATTAAAAGCTTCCTGCCAGAAAGAGGACGAGAGATGAAAGGGCAAAGAGGAGCGCTCTAGGGACAGATGGGTTCATGCTGACACTTACGTTGTCTGGTTGCTGGCTATGAAACTCATGGGGCCAGTCACTCTTTCTCCTTTCACTTAATACCACTCGTAGGAGTGTTGTAAGAATAAAGGGGAGAGCTCATTAAGTTCACTGAAAGGTAAGCCAAAAATGTTACAAATTTAAATAAACCATAAAAATTGAAACAGATATTCCTATGAAGTTAGATGCTAAACCTAACAGAGAAATCATGGCTGCTGTTTAGGGCTGCCTACAATTCATTGCCTTTCACAAAGTCTGTAACGGAGTGAAACATTGTCCATTTCCTTCTTCTCTGTCCCAAAAACAATGTGATAGGTAACAGGATTGGGTTTTGAGTTATCATAAGATCCTCTGAGCTTCAGAAACAAGCATGCTGTAGGGCAGTGGATTTTGCTTCTGAAAATGAGCAGGAACGATGGGACCCATTTATCTGACAACATGGGGTTAGACTGCATGATGATAACCCTTCCACCCTGTCTCTATTTCAGGTAGCTCAGAGGAAAGATGCTCATGATTATCGGTGTCTCTTCAGAGTCTGCTTTATTCCCAAGGACCCACTGATTCTGTTGCAGCAAGACCCAGTGGCCTTTGAGTACCTCTATTTGCAGGTGATGTGGTAATGAATCATATGTCAGACTATAGCCCTGTCTGCCTTGGTTGTGCTTTAAGCGACACCTGACAGAACCTAGAGAGGTATTTTTTTTTTGGTACCTCTTTGTACCATCGCATTTCTTGTACCATTGCATCACATCCCATTAAACTGTTTGCACAGATGATCTTTCAGTGACATCCTTTCACATGGACAATTTATAGATCTGACACAAATGCTGCTTTTAAATACTTAAATCATTTGTACATTTATTTTAAAAACCAATTCGTTCAGATAGATTTTTCAGATTCATAGGTTTTGACGACTTCAACATCTCCATTTGGATTTGAATGATAATCAGACATTCTGACTTTGTTTTAAATATATTTTAGTTATGTAATAAACAAGGAGTATTCTCAAATCAAATATGTTAAATTAGTCAGATTAAATCTATATGGGCAAGTAAACTAGAGTGGCATATGGTATTTAGTATATAATAAAGGAGGTGGATAGCTCAGTAAGTTAGGTATCTGGCTGCAGAGCCAGAGGCTGGGAATCTGAGACCTCTCTACGCTTCCTGGGAGTAGCGCCAACCTATGTGGCCTTGGGCAAGCTGCAAAGTCCCAGGGTGCCCCCAGAAGAAGGGAATGGTAAAGCTCTTCTGAGCATCCTGTACTAGAAAACTCTGAAAAGGGTCACCGTAAGTCAGAAATGACTTCAAGACATACAATTATTATTTATGTATAGCAAAGGTGGGTCCATTCAAATCAAACCCTAAGTCTATAAAGAATTCAGAAGTGAGAATATAAAGGCAAACAAACAAGCCCGTATGTGGTATTTTGTATTTGCAGATTCATTGTTTGTCCATATATATTTCTGCTTCATTGTAACCTGAAGGGAATTCCTTTTGCTATGTCAGTATGTGGTTGTAAGGAACACTGTGGCTCTGAAAGTTTGAAATGGTCTATGAAAAAGGCAGGACACTGCTACAGCTGGAGGCCTGCTTCCACAATTTCAAAATGTAATTTAAAAACAGGGAGCTGCAGACCCAGAGAAAGTTGTATGTATCAGAGTTTCACTGATCACAATATTTATGACAAATGTCATTGAGCAGGGCTCATTTCAACTGGAGGGATGCTCCTAAGTCCCTTGGGATTGTTACCCCTATTTTCAATGATGCACCAGAATTCATAGCTGAATTGTGAATAAGAGAAAGAGAAAGCAAAATACAAAAGCTAGTGATTTAAAAAAAAAAGCTTGGAGCGGAGAGAAAGCTTAGGTATGAATAGGCTTATTTTTATTAGTAGTTGCTCACTTATGGTATTTAGACTTGATAGTGCAACATTTGAATTCATCAAGTTGCTCATCATTTAAGATTGCCTCCAGATCTCCCTTCTGTCACCACATGACGGCTGATAGTTGCATCTAAAATATAAACAAGAATAAAAATAACATGATGAAATATCCACTAAAATGTAAGAAATTAGGTACATTAAATCCACTAAAATGTAAGAAATTAGGTACATTTCTAAATCTGTGCTGCAGTCAACTGCAAACTCCTGCATTAGCATTGACTCCTATTGAAATTAACAGGACACCTTCGAGAGCACTGCCCTTTTATGTTCATTTCAGCCAGGCTAATGCCGGAGTGATTCCCAGTACCTTGCAACCATGCTTACTTCATTATTTCTACATTTTCTATATTCCCCCCCTTGTGATTTCATTTTGTAATGCTCAAAATAATTTCAACAGCTATATCTAAGTCAGCAGTTCCCAGCCCAAGGATCATGACCCCCAAGGGAGTAGCAAAGTGTTTTCTGGGGGTTTGCCTGACTTATACAAACTGGGATTTCTATTTATATGTCTCTAATCCATACCTAAAGGGGACGTGGTACTGCTGGAGGTTAAACTGCTGAAGCCTCTGTGTTGCAAGGTCAGAAGACCTGCAGTCATAAGATCGAATCCACGTGACAGAGTGAGCCCCTGTCACTTGTCCCAGCTCCCGCCATCCTAGCGGTTCAAAAGCATGCAAAATGCAAAAATGCGAGTAGATAAATAGGTACCGCCTCGGTGGGAAGGTAAATGGCGTTCCATGTCTAGTCACGCTGGCCATGTGATCACGGAAGATTGTCTTCAGACAAAACGCTGGCTCTATGGATTGGAAACGGGGATGAGCACCGCCCCCTAGAGTCAGACATGACTGGACAAATTGTCAAGGGGAACCTTTACCTTTACCTAATCCATACCTAAGTGAGTTCATTTTCATTGAGAGAAGGAAGGAGAGGTGGGCTGAAGGAAATGTATCCTTTCCCCCTTTCCCAAGTACCTTGGTGCATTTTGACAAGCCAAAGGGCCAAACTACCTGCACAAATAGAAGGCAATGCACAGGGGAGGTTCATCTGCCAGAGTTTTTGAAAAATCCACCTTTTTGTAAAAGTGACAATACAGTTCATACAGAGAGAGAGAGAGAGAAAGACTTCCAGGGCTTGAGCAGTGCCTTAGAGGCTGCTCACTCCTCCCCTCTGCCAGAGGAATCGGTAGCTTCCATGCCCTGGGCGAGGGGTAGTTGAAATGAGAGGAATGAAAAGCCCCAAAAGAAGAAGAAAGGAAGTGGGGGTTGAATTATTAGGCAAATCAAGGAAGTATTTGCTTTCCTGTCTTCAGACAGGTCTATGCAAAGGGGGTGGAAATGAAGATCCTGGGCCAGCCGTGTTATCCTGTGGTTCTTGGGCAGTGCCTGGACACCAAGTTAAATGAGTAAAACCGAAAAACAGAGTTCCTCTCCTTCACAGAGCAAGCAACATGGACCCCACCCTTCTTGCCCCTCCACCCACCTCTGAGGTGAAACTTCTCTGGGGTATCCTGCTTTTGGGTACAGGGGACAGCGGAGTCACAAGCTGATTGGCTGAAGGGGCAGCTGTGCATTTGCTGGTCATCCCAGGTCGTTGTCTTTTCTTCGGATTCCTTTCTTTTTTGGTTACAGGAATTCAAACGTTTCTGGTTTTCTAAGGGGGTATTTTGCCGATATTGCTGCTGTGAGACACTCACCTGCTCTAAGCTGTGACTGCCTGGTGAGGACAGAGCAAGCTGCCTCCATTCCCCAGCTAGCAGCTGTAGTTATGTGGCAGGCAGAAGTTCAAAAGGTGTAGCGTTCTCCCAATTTCCAGACTTGGTTTGTTTGTTTCCTGGGCAGGAAAATGTGCACTTCTTCCTTCTTTCCCTGCTCTGTTGTTGTCTTAGCAGCACAGGTGCTTTGTATGAGAGAAACTGGAAGCTGTGGGAGAGGGGAGAAGGGTTGAGAAACGTCTACGACAGCTCTTGCCCAAGCAGATGCTCTCCAGATGTGTTGCATCCAGACCCACCATCCAGGAATGATGGAGGATTTAATACAACAGACCTGGAAGGCATCTGTTTGGGAAAGTCTGGTATATTGTCATAGCCGGGGTTTTGTATGGTGACTTCTTGTACAGTTTCTCCTGGGTTTGTGATTTTATTCTAGCTACCTTGTGAGCATAGCTACATGGTCAGGATCTAACCTTTAGGTACTCTTCCGTTCCTTTTGTTCTGTTAGTATTTGGCAAATTTCTGTAGTCCTTAAACCTCCCATGTTTCTTGGCTTGCCCCATAAGTCTGTGGAACATAGCAAGAGGAGGGAAAGGAGGGATCAAAGCAATTGCGCAGCAGCTGGGGGATCCCTCTGATCCCTCTTTCATCCCTTCTTTCCTCTTCTTATGCCACGTGGGCATAGGAAGAGGAGGAAAGGGGAACCAAGCCATTCCCCAGCACCAGAGGTGGGATTCCCTTCAGACAGGTTTTAGCAAGCTGCCCAAAGGGAAAACCCCTCTCTGCTTATGCACCCGAAGAACAGCTGATCCGCAGGGGCATAAGCAAATAGGGAACTAAGGGACAACTATAAAAGGGTTATATTTGTTGCTTCTTATTTGTTGGTGTCTCTGGACCCCAAGAATACGAAGCAAAAAATATCTGTCGAATCAGGGATATTTAATGAATATCCTGAATCAATGGTTGTTGTGGGTTTTTCGGGCTCTTTGGCCGTGTTCTGAAGGTTGTTCTTCCTAATGTTTCACCAGTCTCTGTGGCCGGCATCTTCAGAGGACAGGAGTAGCACGCTGTGCTCAGGAGTAGCACAGTCTTCCTGCTGTTGCCACGGTAACCCCAGGATTCCAAGAATGTTTGGATCCAAAATGGAGTCTAGAATGGAGGGCAGTTGGCTTTCGAAGGGAGGCCGAGTGTCCGTTAAGAGCCAATGAGTAAGTCCAACCAAAACAAGCAAACCAAAATAAGCCCCGATATATGGTCTGCCAGGTGAAGACTCCTCCAAAATTGAGATTAATCTGACCGTTTGGTGTAGACACAACTTGTCTAGAGGAGCCCCAAGCCACGAGTCAGACAAACTGGGGCCAAGTCTCCCCTTAGAAACTTCAGGGGCTTCTTCGTCCCCTTCCCTCTCCCAGAATGAAGCACGGAGACCTGCACATCCAGACATCCCTGTAGATGAGCTGTGCCTTTCCTGCTCCACCCACTTTTCAGAGCTGTTGCTTTCTTTAGGAAAAAAAAAACAGTTCCAGGCCTATTACCTCCTGAGTCAAACCTCCATCCCATGGAAGGTCACGGAATAGTTCTTAGGCATGGTGATCCTCAACCTCATTGACATTCCTAGGGAGTACGGTTGTAACTAAAGTTGCTGGATTGTGCTTTGTGGCTTTTGGGCTGCAAACCCCTTGCCCTCCTGCCAATTCATCCCCTTTTATTCCCACACCAAGTTTCAATGTGTTTTACCTGATCTAACCTATCCAAAGACTTGATAGAGTTCTCAGCTATACATCCATAACTTCACCTTTGGCTTTTCTGTGACTGTTGTGGAAACATAAATAAGCCATTTGAACACCCAAATGGCACCATGTCCTACCTGCCATGTTGAATAAACTGATTGGGTTGGAAGTCTTTTTCCTGATCACTGCAGAGAGCTCCTCCACCACTCCTAACTGAGTAAGCATC